ATAGCCCCTTTGAGCCTATGTTTCCCTTTATTTCTTTTGAAGCTCATTAAAAGCCTTAAGTGAAAAACCATGATTACCTTAACCTTAGGGATTTTTGGAGCTTTGGAATTGTTTTGGGAATAAGTTATTGAATAAGTGTGGGGGTGCATTTTGTATTTCATTGGATGATGTACTCGGCTAGTTGGTTATCTCTCGTTGTACAGCTTTTGTGTTTTCCTTTCAGTGTATTTCATGTAGTTAAAAAAAAGATATATATAAAAAAAAAAGAAAAAGAGAGAGAGAGAAAATAAAAAAAAAGAAAAAAAAAGGAAAGTTGTGGTTGAGGTAAAGACAGTAGTGAATGTTTGATATTAGAGGTTTTTGGGCATGCATCTTGTGCTTATTTTTTACTTATTCCCCATTGCTCTTCTAGTTCCTCTGGTTCACAGCTACTTATCCCATATGATATCCTCTACCTTGTCCCTACCCCCATTACAACCTGAAAAGACCTTTTGATCTTTTTATGCATGTGCGTTGGGTGTTGAATTTAGAGGCTTGCCAAGTCTATCTGTTGTTTGCTTTTCTTGAGTATTTTGAGAGTATACAGTAGCCTAGACACATGAGAGATACAGTGCATCTTGTGAGGTTTTGTCACTTTGATTCACCTTTTGACCTGATTGACCTCTTGCCAGGTTTTGAAATGCTTGGATGATTTTCATGAGTATCTTGTTCCTCTGACTCTTTGTGTGTTAGATGTTGTCTACTCCTTTTGTTTCCTCGTTTCTTTGATGAATATGTATATCTGTTTATGTTTTTGTTTGTCTTTATTTTTGTTTTTGTCCTTTGCATAATTTTCTTTAATGTTTTTGAATTTATATCCTTGTTTTGCTTCTTGATTTTGCCCAGGAGTGCAAAAGGCTAAGTGGGGGTTATTTGATGAGTCATTATATTCCCGTATTTTCTTCCCTTTCTAAATTTATTTTAATTAGTGTTTTGGGCTTAACTTTCTATTATTAGTGAATTTTTATTAATTGGGCTTCATTGGGTCAATAATTAGATTTTAATTAATTTAAATCTATTTGATCTAATTTTTTTTCATTATTAATTTTAGGACAGCTTAAAGCAATTTTGGGCCTAGAAGATTGGGCTAGATGCCATTTTACGCTTTAAAGCAATTTTGGGCTTGGAAAATTGGGTCAAATGTCATATTTTATTCTATACGGGTACTAACATTGGTTTATTGTTTTATTTATCATTTTTTCTATAGATTTCCAAAAATCATTATTTTCAAAACATTATAAACTAGACACATTCAGATTTCCATAGGATCCAAAATCATTCAATTCGGAGATAAATTGGATTTTACATAAATTATCCAACACGGGTCAAGTGCACCAGGCCGGCCCAATGGACATGCTTCAGTAATTTAAGTCTCCTAAATTCATTAGACCTCCAAAAATAGTAGCAATGGTGGCGTTTTAAAGCTAACTCAAAAGGCTTTCAAAGGATACCAAAATAGCTTAATTTGGATAAGTATTGAAAATAGTGCACATGTTTGAAGTTCACGGACCTGCACTAAAGGCAACTTATGATGTGTTTCATGGACCAGTTGAGCACAAACCTCAATAAAGATTAAGGTTAGGGTTATTTATATAAGAGAGGCACATCACACATCAGAAGACACACATCACACAAGGACTACGCAGCCACCACACTTCCACATTTCATCTTCTGCAATTTATATTCAAGTTTGTTTACTCTTCTGTCATTATTTTTAAATTCTTGTTTCGATTTTAATTATGTTTCTTCTATTGCGTTTTCAACTTTCCATGGATAGCTAAATCTTTGTATTGATTTTCTGAGAAGAATGCAAGTAGATCTTTGAGGTTTTGTTCTTCAATTTCATTTTGTTTGTTCTCTTAACTCTTCATCTTCTAATCTCAGTGTTGAATTATAATCTGTTTATGCTTAATAAACCGAAACTAATATCACAGTTTGCTTAATTCTGTGTTAGAGATGAGATTATGTGATGTATGCAATGCTTAATTGTATAAGGATAATTTGGGGTTAATCTTCGCTTAGTTGGTTAATTTCATGTTGGAATAAGGGTTAAGGAAAATTTGGGATTAATCTTCGCTTAGTTGGTTAATTTCATATTGGAACAAGGTTAAAGCTAATTTGAGATTAATCTTCGCTTAGTTGATTAATTTTGAATTAGAATATAATTTGGCATTTATCTTCGCTTAGTTGGTTAATTTCGAATTAATTTCGTAATCTAGGATAAGTGACATCGCATTAGAATCGTGAAATCAATTGCATTTTAATCTGCTTTTTAATCCGCATTTTTATAATCTGCTTTTGTTCTGTTTCATCTAATATTTTAATTTTGAAAAACTCCCCTTTTAATTTTTTGTTACTAAAAATTGATAAGCTTTGATAGAAATTCGTGGTCTTTGGGAGACGACCTAGGAAAGCTTCCTAGTACTACATTTATCTGTTTTAATTATTTGACCGAGTACGACATCGATCAATGACGTAGGTGATAAAGATGATGATTCAAGCAAGCTCAAGATGATTCCTGAAGACTAGATAGAGTCTTAGAATACTGGATATGGAGGTACAAGTTGATGAAGTAATATTATGCATAAGCCTCCAAAGCACAAGTGTGATAAAATTCATAACATGGTCTTTTTTACTGTCATAATTAATTATGATGCATCAGAAATGGAAAAATGATTTTCTCTATCATAATTAATTATACTGGTAATATAATAAATTATGACAATTCAAATTTGAAAAATATATCCGTTTTAAAGAATAAATGTTTTTGAATACATCATGATTTTCTCTATGATATTATTAATGTCCAATGACCATTTTCTGATGTTATTTTTCTATTTAATTAAGTTTTGATGAAAAATAAAAAACACACAATTACAGAATTCGAAAATACAATTTACATTCAATCAATTTTGAGAAAAGAATTCTGAAAAAGGCAACAGAGATATTTTACACCTTTTGAGAAAACTCTCTTCTCTACTGCCTTCTGTGCTTTCATTGTTAATCACACTTGTTCTTGGAGATTGACATTCTACAGGCTTCTACAATTTGTTGTCTCCATTACCCAGGTGTGTTTGTTCTTATTTTTATTACCTTCATCCTTTTTGCATTGGTGGAAAAGGAGGTGTTTTTCATCCCTAGTGTGATTCTAGGGAGGTGTTCATCCTTAGTGGGATTCTAAGGAGGTGTTTTTCATCCTTTGATTTGTTCAAAGGAGGTGTTCATCCCTAGTGGGATTCTAGGTAATTTTCCTAAACTTACAAGAATTTGTGAGGAGCACCAACAATAGAAAATGACAAGAATAATCAAAAGGGAACCCAATATTTTTTAACTTTTTAACGTGAAAAAAGCCTCAATATAAGAAGTAAAACTCACGGACACAAGTTAGTCAATCAAACTTCACCAAGATTGAAAGATGAGTATAAGAGAGTTAAATCAAAATGCAAAAATAAGTGTCTACAAATAGTCAATATGTTAAAGCAATAATGCTATAAAATTTGAAGAATAAAAAAAAAAAACCTAAAATTCAACCATATTGTGAGATTGATATCTCCAATCACATACCTCCAATAAACGATCCTAACAATTAAAATAAATAATTGTATGTCATTAACTGCTGTCAAAATTTTAGTCTGATTCAACTGTGAACGAAGCGAGAATTATAATTTTTCTCTCTGTTTTGACCTAGAACGTCTCTTTTCACTTAGGTTAAGTGGAATAAAATAAACTTGAATAATTTAAACCTTTTAAACACATAATTGGGAATCCAACCACATATATATATATATATATATATATATATATATATATATATATATATATATATATATATTCTTTTTATAGTTATTGATTTCATTCTATGTTTAATGCTGAAATATATCTAATTGATAATTTTGAGCAGTTGTTAATGGAAGTTTTGAGTTTTTATTTTCTTTAAATAATTTCTTAAATTTGAATATTTGTAACTTTTATTAATATCAATTGAAAAACGAAATCAAATAACTTATATGGATAAATATTAAACTTGTGATATAACTAGATATTACAAGCCTTTAATTTTTATCTGTTAATTTCGATTGATTTGGTGAACTTCTAAAATAAAATCATCAGCTTCATCACGAGGAATATGGTGCTTCCTATACCTATGACAACCTCCACGACTATTGGTGTTCTCTTCTCCTTCGAGCTCTTTTTCCTACGTGTGAGGTTCACTAGGTAGTGGCAGGTGAACTCATAAGTGAAAAATAATGTAAGAAGAATATTTGGGTACATGCACATGAAGGGAATGCAAGTAATAATTAGATACTTATATTAAATATGCAAAAGTAATGAATAAAAAAGTGTGTAGAGGATACATTAGATTACGAAAAATTGAGGAATAAATTAAATATGAAAAGGTAGTGAATAAAAAAGTAAGCGTGTCTCATTTTAATAAAGGTTTTAGCAAAAAAATGTTGTATTTAACTGTTAATTAAAAATATCAGCAAAATATTAAATATTTATTATACACCTTATTTGTTGTGAAGTGAGAAAATAAAACGAAGTATACATAATATAAAATTTAAACTTTAATGAAACAAATAAGTGTAGGTGATGATAATTGGAATATTTTTATCTTTCTTTTTCTTCGTATTCTTCACAAATATAGTTATTATGTAATATCCAGAAAAAAGAAACGTGTGATGTTGAACGTCAAACACAAATCTCCTTTCCTATTTTTTTGGGTTACAAAATAGGTTTGAGAGGCACGCAACACTGAACCATTGGTTTCGTTGTATCCAATCCGAAAACGAAAATTTATGCCAAGAAAAAAAGTGTGTGACTGTGACGAATGGAATTAAGGGGCGTGGAAGCCAAATTTGAAGTGTGACTCACCTTGGTTTGGCAATAAAACAAACAAGCTGCATCCGCGGAGCCACAGATCGAAGGGACACGTGTCGCATGGAAATTGAGTGGCGGAAATGGAAGGGACGGTGATGATGCGTTACGGATTTGTGGTGTGGGAGGGTGAAATCTGGAGTTTAAAAACGCAAATTGTCAGAGGACGTTACTTCCGTTCATAATTCAGTTTGAACCCAAAGAGCGGGTCCCTGAGAACGAAGAACCCTCTCTTCTTTCTTTCAAACGCCATCTCCATCTCCTTCCTCAGGTCACTCTATCTTCTCTTCTCTCATCTTCCAGTCGCTGTTTTCGTTTAACCCTCGCCGTTATCTCGCATTATGCTTTTTGCCTTGTTCACCGCTTCTCATATTGTGGAATTCTGATTCGTATGTTCTTTTTGACGCGAGTTTATTTTTGTCGGGTTTATGCATGGAATCAAGGGATTTTGTTGAGTTGTTTATAGTTATGCCGAGTAACATAACCTGATTGATAAGGTCGCAATCTGAAAGTTATCTGATTCTGCCTAGAATAGGCTTGTTTAACTTAGACCGAAATTAGCTGTTGCATTTGCCGTTTCATGTAATGCAGCTGATGTTGATGCTGCTGCTGCAGTCGCGATGAGATCGGTATCGCAAGTTGTTTTTAAAAATCTTGAATCTAATGTGAAGATGTATAGGTAGTATATTCCTTAATTGAATAAAATTAAATATATAATAGTACTTATATAGAATTTAATTGTGATACGCAGTTCATGTATATATTTTTAGTGTGAATAGGTTATGTAGTATTTATCATAAAAAATCAATTGTAACAATTCAGGATTAAAAGAATAAGGGTTTTTTATTTAGGAAACTTCACCATAAATAGTAAGAGAGAAAAATAAAAAGACAAAAATAAATTAATTTCTCTATAAACTAAAATTAATAAGTTAAAAAAATCAGATTTTAAAAAAAAACCTTCAACAAATCATTTCATAGATAAACTAATTTTAATTTTAAGAAAAACTAATTTCATCTTTTTCTTTATTTTTCTCTTCTAGTTTTTAATACATTTTGTAATAACAATCTATTAGTTTTAGATTTGAATAAATATGAAGTGATTTAAAATATAATATTTAATCACAACCCTGAACATTAAATTCATGGTTAGACTTGTGGCCTGGTCTGATATGAACAGTGATTTAGATTTGTGTACATTGTTTCTTATATCATAATTTTGCATGACGTGAAAACTTAGTGTTTATTTGCCTTTGAATATATTTTGCCAAAATTTTAGTGTTCTATCGGATCGAAAACTTATGCACATTTTCAATTATACAAATCCTAATCTTTTTAAATATTTTTTGTATTAAATTGAAGAATGAAAATTCTGTTTTAAAGTAATCTCAGACAGATTTAGAACTGCACCTCATTCAGTTCAATTACCAACTGTAGGCGTTCTAATTCCTGATCTATTGTGTAAGGTGTATCAGGCAAGAGAATGATTCTTGTGATTTAGAAATTTTGAGGTTGTTATATCATAAATTCTGCAAACCTTATATTGTGGCGTGGAGCTCAGGATCATTGTAAACATTTGTTTAGATTGTGCTTGTGTATGTCTTTGTTCTCAACGTGCTGAGCGACTCTTTTTTTTTTTTTAATTTTCTCAGTTCTTAAAACAGAAAATGGCAGATGGTGAGGATATTCAGCCACTCGTCTGCGATAATGGGACAGGAATGGTTAAAGTAAGATTCCTGGATGGTTATATTTCTAATATTTTTGTGTCCTAAAGTGATTGGATTTACTAGTATTTTTTTGCTTGCTGTTTTTTGCATCAGTGAGAATGGTACCTTTCACTTTCTGCTAATTTACTGTAAGTCTATTGTATTCGGATGTTTAGGCTGGATTTGCTGGGGATGATGCTCCAAGAGCTGTGTTTCCCAGCATTGTTGGTCGTCCCCGTCACACAGGGGTGATGGTTGGCATGGGCCAAAAGGATGCATATGTTGGGGATGAAGCTCAGTCCAAGAGAGGTATATTAACTCTTAAATATCCCATTGAGCACGGTATTGTGAATAACTGGGATGATATGGAGAAGATCTGGCATCACACCTTCTACAATGAACTCCGTGTTGCTCCCGAGGAGCACCCAGTTCTGCTCACCGAAGCACCTCTCAACCCAAAGGCTAACCGTGAGAAAATGACCCAAATTATGTTTGAGACCTTCAATACCCCTGCCATGTATGTTGCCATCCAGGCTGTTCTATCCTTGTATGCCAGTGGCCGTACAACTGGTTAGTCATTTCTTGTTCAAGAAAAATATTCTGTTCCATCTAACTACGCTCTAAAATTGTTAGACCGGTTAATTTTAAACCTTTTCCTTGTGAAAATGTCATTCTTAAGTTGTAGTTGAAAACTCTATCTTCCTAAGATGACCAGAAGTAGTAGAGCTGATTTCGGAGGTTGTCTAACTCGGCTGCTTTCCTTCATGCTTGTTGAATTAATTTGTGCAGGTATCGTTCTAGACTCTGGTGATGGTGTCAGCCATACTGTCCCCATTTATGAGGGCTATGCTCTCCCTCATGCCATCCTCCGTCTTGACTTAGCAGGACGCGATCTCACTGATGCCTTGATGAAAATCCTTACAGAACGTGGTTATTCCTTCACTACCACAGCTGAGCGTGAAATTGTTAGGGATGTAAAGGAAAAGCTGGCTTATATTGCCCTTGATTATGAGCAAGAGCTTGAAACATCAAAAACTAGTTCTGCAGTTGAGAAGACCTATGAGTTGCCTGATGGACAGGTAATCACCATTGGTGCTGAGCGTTTCCGATGCCCTGAAGTTCTTTTCCAACCATCCATGATCGGAATGGAAGCTGTTGGCATACATGAGACCACTTACAATTCAATTATGAAGTGTGATGTGGATATTAGGAAGGACTTGTATGGCAACATCGTTCTCAGTGGTGGTTCTACCATGTTCACTGGTATTGCTGACAGAATGAGCAAGGAAATCTCAGCTTTGGCCCCTAGCAGCATGAAGATTAAGGTGGTTGCTCCACCTGAGAGAAAGTACAGTGTCTGGATTGGTGGCTCTATCTTGGCTTCTCTCAGTACTTTCCAACAGGTAAAGAATTATCTATCTTCACTTTAAAGTTATTTAAAGACTACGAATTATTTTAATTGAAATCAACGTAGATGTATCCTTACTATCTCAATTTACACAAAAGAAATTACGAGATTATGCCTGCCTTTCTTCCTCATCAGACATCTCAGTGACTTAAAGTTAAATATACTGCAAATTGCATATTGTGGGGATACTAATATTAAGACATGACGCTTGAAATGCAGATGTGGATTGCAAAGGCTGAGTACGATGAGGCTGGTCCTTCAATTGTACACAGGAAATGCTTCTAAATGCTGCAGGTGGCTCTGCGAAAGAAAATACGGCGTCGTCGTTTTATATTATAGAATTTTGATGCAGGGTAAATTCTTTCATTAGATTTTGTTTATCATTGACTGTTGCGGAACGGTTAATCTTTTTGGTTATAAACGCCTTTCAACTTATACTTTCATCCAGATATTAAGGTATGGGGTACTGAATATCACGATTACTTTCACACCTTAGTAATACGGGCCAACATACTAAAAATTACGAATGTCATTATATATAGGTTAAACTTAGCTCGCCCAACAATGTCTTATTAAAGCCATGTTTTTAAAAAGAAAGTGATAACTAATGAGATATGATATGAATTTAGAATTAAAAGTTTAATCGATGTAATAAAATAATATTTTTAATAATAAATTTCTTTCAAACTTTATTATATTAACAGTAAAAGTTTGTGGTAATTACAAATTATAGTGAAAATTATAAATATAAATATAATAGATAAAGTAAAAGATTAGTGAGAGTAAGACGAAGGAATAATTGAGACGTTAGGGTAAAAAGGAATAAATTGAGCTTTTTTAAGATTTGCCCCAAGAATTTCTTTTAAAACAATTAAAAAAAGTTATCCTTCAATTTTTTTTAAATAAATATCTTTAAAAAAAATACCATAAAATAACAAATAACTAATTAAGTTTTATATTTTTTTCAGTTTTACATCACATTAATTAAAATTTTGATATTTTAAAAACCTTAAGCTTATTTTCATATTATTTATTCGATCAATATGGTTTTAACATGATATTGAAGATATATTTATACAAAAGAATATATTTTAAAATATATCTTAATATAATATTTATTTTTGAAATTATTGATAATATTAATTTAAAAATCAAATATATATTTTTTATTTTATCGTGACCAATAAAATTGAAAATGTATAAATGATAAATTGTAGAATTAGTAAATTTATCTGAAACTCGCAATTTATAAAAAAATCTAAATATTTTAATTTAATTTACAATTATTCAAATTCAAATAATTTTTAATTTATTTATTGGATATTTATATCAAATTCAAATCTTATAGATTTAAAATATAAATTATATATATATATATAATTTTAAAAATCTAATATTAATGTCACTATGGTCCAATCAAGTTGAATTGATAAAATAAAACATATTAATAAGGTCAATTCGAGGTTGATTAGCTCGTATTATATCAAATTACATTTTATCAAGTCATTTCAAGTAGAATTAAGGTGAAATCAAAATAAACTTGGATGGATCAAGTTAAATTGAGCTAGGTTAAATGAGTTAAGTAAGATTAGGTCCAATTAGAACGAGTTATATTAGCCTAAAATGGGTTACAGTGGATTGAGCTCAAACATGTTAGGATTGAACTGAGTCAAGTCAGGTTGGGTTGTGTCAACCTAAATCAAGTGAGACCTAACCTAAATTAGGTTAGGACAAATCGAATTAGAATGAAAAAGATGAGTTTGACTAGGTTAGGTTAGGCTAACACAAGGTGAAATATGGTAGACCAACTTAAGTTAAGCTATAGATTAAACATGTTTAGTTGAGTCAGGCTAGGTCACATTTGAATAGACTAAATCGAGTCAAGTCACATCTAGTTAGGCTAAGCTAGGTAAGTTCAAGTCATGTCGAGATTAGGTTGAGTTGAGTCACGTCTATGTTATGGTTAATCTAAGTTAAACCTATGTTAGATTAAATCATATCAGGTTAGATAAATTAAGTTGAGTTGGATTTATATAGATTAAATCGAGTCAAACCAAGTTTAGATTGAGTCAGTTATTATTAGGTTGAGCTAAGTTACATTGAGTTAGATTGATTTAAGTTGACTTAAGCTAGATTAAACTAAGTTAAGTCTAGTTAAATTTTATTATACTAGATTGAATTGAGTTGAGTTTGATATATTCTTATTTAAATTAAATTACTAAATAAATATAAATGTAATCATATTTAAATTTAAATATAAATTAAATTAAAAAATTAATTTAATTTAATTTATATAAGTATATTTAAATTTTAGATTAATCTATTTTATTGAATATAGATTGGATTAAAATTTAATCAATATTTATCCTTAATTAAGATAGTGAAACCAAGAGAAATTAATAAAATAAAAAATTATCCGAACTTATAAAAAAAATTAAACATAAAATTAAAAAATTTATTAAGATCAAAATTAATTTAAATACAGTACATTTTAATCTTATTTTTTTTATAATTTTAATTATTAATTTTCCTCATAAATGAGATAAACTTTATTCACTTTTCCTTATTTATTATGTTCATGTAACTTTTTCTTATATCTTACTCAATCTTTTTCCTACTATCCATGGGAAAATTTCAAATCACTTCGATTCCAATTTTAAATCATATCCCTAAAATATTTCATAAAATATTAAAATTTAACTTTGTTAGACATAATTAGTTATAAAAACAATGTTATTTTATTTAAAATGTGATTCATGATATTTATATTTTAAAGGGAGATGATATAAAGGGAGATAACATTATCCCACGTGGTAATAACTAATGAATTATATTAGTTAGTTAAGTTCAGCAAGTGTATTACGTGAAATGTAATAATGACTCAAATTGATTTATTGTAATAAAAATAAAGGTTTTAGAATTATATAATATGTCAATGGAAGCTATGAGGCATGTCAAGAAAATGATATGACATTAACTCTATACCTTTTATATTTGTTGAAAATATGATTCAATATATATCATTAGAGATTATTAAAGTTTATTAGGGTACTTTTGAAATTTCTATTATTATAAATTTTAATTATAGGAGTTAATGGGTGATTAAAAGTTGTTATGAATAGTTTTAAATTGTTATTAATTTTTAATTATTTTTCTATTTTATTTAAAGGTTGTCAACCTTCCTAAATACTATAAAACCTAACAATGGTAATAGTATCGAGTACAAAATAGATAAAAGACTATGTCCTTTAATGACAATTATATTTGAATCATTATTAAAAAAAATGTTATGATAATTTTGAAATTATTTTTAACTTTTTAATGACAATTTATAACTATTGTTATATGTGACATACGACCATTATAAATGAATCGTTTCATATGTGCAAAACAATAACATACAACGAAGGTTATACTTATAACTGTCGTCATATATTTAACATTCTAAAGACGATTTTTTTATAACTATTATTTTATGTCACATACGACGAAAGTTAGTAGAATCATATGTCTGATTAAAATTTTTAATTTTGTCCATTATATTCATTTCATCTTTGCGTTTCCATCTCCTTTTTCTTCTTCTCTTTTTTTTTTCTCTTCTCCTCCTCTATTGAAACTCTCCTCTTCTTTTATTCATCACAATTCAACTCTTCTCTCTTTCTTCTCCCTCCTTCTCTCTTTCTCAATGTGTTTCTCTCCACCGCAAATATCTCCAACACAATCAAAGTTGTCATAAAAAAAAACAATAGTGAAAAATAATATTTTACTGAGGCAAAGGTAGAGAACAATGTTTTGTCAAGGTAGAAGTAGATGATAATATTTTGTTGGACCTATTGAAGTTAAATCAAAATAACAATAATGAGGAAGTCGTAAAAGCTTTCAGGTCTATTGTCACCAATAGTGGAAGCTTTCATTGCGGAGAAATAATAATGAGGGAGCAACATTGTCCTGATGAAGATTTTAAATTTATTGTTAAACATATCTTTTTGTTACGGCAAAACTTTTAGATTTGGTACAATAAAACAAAATGGAGGATTTTGACTAACCACGATAAGCATGAGTAACTTATGACAATTATTTGAAGTCATCATTAATTTATTAATTTTTAATTATGGTTCAAAAATTGTTGTTATGGTCATTTTTTTTTAATTGTTATAAAAAAATGTTATTTGTAATAGTACATAACTAATGGTTCATTTGATGATCTGACTTGGTAGATTACAAAATTGTGTAAGTAAGTTAAAGGGAAAGAGTATTTTGATTTGTAAGGATTCATACTTGAAGGCATGTCTAAGTGAATTAGAATTTTATATTAATAAAAATAAGAAAATTGATTAATTTATAAATGAAAAGAAAAGACATAAAAGCTTAATCTATTATAATGATTACCTATTATCCGTCCACATAATGTTGATCCATCACAAAAATCCAATAATTTCATCACATAATGAACATGGGTTATCATTATAAATGATTTAGCTCCATTTATATATGGTAATTTAGTGGTATAAATAAATGATGAAAAAAAGTGATGATATAAATGAAGATGATAATAATGATAATAGTGACAATTATTATATTATTTTATAAAAAAATTAAAAATAACGAAATATTAGATAAATAATTGTTTTATTTGAATTATAATATTATTTTTAAATTTTTTCCTGAATATAAATAAGTGAATATTTATTAACAAGTATTAATGATATACTAAAAATAAAAAGAAATTAATATTTAATATTTTGTTTAGTATTATTATTATTAATAAAACTACATGATGATAAAGTGAAAATAAGGTTGAATTGAAAAAGTAAATAAGAATTTAAAACAGAACAAATTTAATATATATATATATATATATATATATATATATATATATATATATATATATTAGTTGCTTTGATGCATATATTTTTCTAAATTTAGTGATTGTTTCTAATTTATCACTATTATAAATAATATTTGTGCAAAATAAATAATAAAGTCATGAATAATATAAAAATAATAACAAATTTTATATTTATCACTAAATTCTTTATATATGTATATAATAAATAAATTAAATAGTATGTTTTGTTATTATTGTATCATTAATAATTGTTATAAAAATAGTTTATTTATATTCTATTATAATGACTAATTATTTTATATTTATTTATGTATTAAAAAATATTTAAATATATTATATTAGAAATAATTTTAAAATGTTTATTTATATTAATAGATACGTTAGTAGAAGTATACAAAATGTATTACTAAAATTTTAAGATATCTGTGTCAATAAAAAGTTGTGACAAATCACTATTAATTTATAAACCTTCAATCAACTTTGTATTAGTTATAGTTTTCTTAACTAATTTTATCATATAAATTTTATATTTGCATGTAATTATTTATATCATATGGTGCTATCATTTTTTTAATAAAATTATTGTAAAATTTTTAATTTAGTCACTATTATGATTCATATATTTGTGAAAATTTTAAATATTAATCATAAATATTATATTAATAGTGGCAAATTTTATTTTTATCACTACTTTTTTGTTAAAAAAATATATTTCTTGTAATATCAAACATATTTCATGGTATTACAAAAGAAAAATATACAGAAAAACAAATGATATTTCTAACATAAAATCATGAAATATGACTTATAATACAAGTGTTGGAAAACATACCAAACTATAGGAACCACAACAAGTCTCTTGTTTGATTCGTTGGTCGAGGCTGTAGACACAAAAGCAATATTTTCACTCAGTTGATTGTGGAAAACACGTTCTTCTTAGGTCATTCAGCTATCTTAATGTCATCATGCACTGCACTAGATAACTATCGCAGAGAAAATAAATAATGGTATTGAGAAATAAATAAATAAATATATAAAATCTTGAAGAGTAGTGAGATTGAGAATGGAAGAAAGAGCATGCGATTGGGAAGAATAGATGAATGAGAAAGATGAAAATGATCACAGAAAGAACTCTATTTTTAATGTAAGGTTACTTTTGCACAAGTCTAACAAAAAGACAGAAGTGGGATACCACACGGCATCATCGAGTCGTTGCAAAAGTCAAGCCTTTCTCTTTTGAGTTTCAAGGGAAAATGATAACCAAAAATGAATAAATATCCATCAAACTCACTCTTCAATTGTCCCTTTCCCATTGCTACTAACTTTTTCTTCAAATATGGACCTTTATCAACCTTCACATCTTCCTCTCCATTCCTTCTAACTCCCTAAACTTCTCAACTCAACCACCCCACCTCATGGCCATGGAGGAGTATGAAAGTGATGAGAAGGTCCACGTGGCAGTTGGGAAGTCCCTGAAGAAAGCCACCACTTTGCTGCAATGGTGTTTCACCCATTTCAGCAAAGCACAGATATGTTTGATTCATGTTTACCAACCTTCTACTATGATCCCTACACTCTGTAAGTCTTGGTCTTTGATATTCACGTATGTACCCTTCTTTTAATTTGGATTTTTTTTTCTATTTTGGCTATTTGGCAGGCTGAAGTTTGAGAATTGAAGTATTGTTGTATATTGGTTATTGAGAAATTTTCATCTTATCCCATGATTTGATTCGTGTAAAGTTGAAATCTTGTGCAGTAGGAAAATTGCCAGCATCCCAAGCTAGTCCTGAAGTCGTGTCTGCTTATAGAATGGAGGAAAGAGAAGATACCAAGAGGCTTCTGGAGAAGTACTTGAGCCTTTGCCGTGCAGCTAAGGTATCTTTCATCTCTTTGCGTATTTATAATCACAACAAGTAGGAGATTGTAGTTTATACTTTCCATGATTCTTTCTGCTTACATTATCGTTGAACTTTTCTTGATTTCATTTATGAACGAAGAAGTTGGTTATTTTTAATTTTATTTTAATTTTATGGCCTTTGGAAATGTTTACTGGTAAAGTTCTAAGTTAGTTATTATTCTGTTTTCATGTTTTCTCCCTTCAGAATATATCAGTAATTATAACTGAAATTTTCTTTTGTTAAAATTATCTCGTAATGTACTCTATATAATGAAATTTGTGGGAAGACTGCAATTATTAATGGTCTTTATTAAAGCAATTTCTTTTCAGGTTAAGGCAAGTAGTGTCATTGGTGAAGCTGATCAAGTCCAGAAAGGGATAGTAGATTTGGTTACTGTGCATAATATCAGGAAACTTGTTATTGGAGCAATACCCCGAGAAAAGTAAGTAATGCATTGATCACCAACAAATTCTGCTAGACAGAGGGAGTGATTTTTTATGCCTGTATAAAATTGTCTAGTTAGCATGCATTAAACATAGCTTATTCACTTCTTTAGTCCCTTCTAGTTCAGAAATTTTATTGTTATTCTCTTATCTCTATGTTTATCGTTTCTGTAGACTGCAGAGACTACATATCTATGACTTCCTCTGCTCTTATAACTTGAACCATGAACTATACTCCAGTCATTTCCTTACCTTTTCTTTCATAAAAGGGATTAATAATCTTTCCTTTTACAAAAATACTGGAAAAATGCAGTTGCGTGAAAGTCAAAAGGAATTCCAGAAAAGCAAACTTTGCTGCGAAAAATGCTCCCCCATTCTGTGAAATATGGTTTGTCTACAAAGGCAGACACATTTGGACAAGAAAAGCTTCTGAAACTCCGTGTTTTGTGTCTTCCCATGCTCAAACTGAGACTACAACCGTAGAGAGCTTGAGCCGTAGATCTTTTCAATATGGTACAAATGAATTATTCCATTCAGAATGTCTTCAATCAAATTCTACAAGGACTACAAGACGTACAGTTCAGAGTGAAATCATTGAAGCTGAAGCTACTTTTTCATCCAAATCACCCAGTTGTAATAGTCATTGTTCTCCCCAACATTCAGCCGGTTGGTATTTAGATACTCATTCAGAGTTTGAGGAAGAACCAATTGACAGCCAACTTATTGAAGCTAAAGGAGAAGCTAATCCTGCAACAGACAAGGAACCTGTGGAGCTGTTGAAGTGCAAAAGGTTGGAACTCCAAGCCACTGAGGCCATTAGTAAGGTACTCATGAACTAATGTAGAAGTTTTGGACTTGATAGCACAGAAGCCTATTCTCCTTGTTCCTATTGCAAGGAAAGCTGCCAGACAGATTCTTGCTTGTCATGAGGGATCAAATATACTTTTTTATCATAACTATGAAGCCTCAAGAGAAAATCCATCTGAAAGATACTTGGATTCTGTAAATAATTTGTCTTAAACTTAATGTTTTCTAGTCAAAATTGTAGAACAGACCAAGAAGTAGTAGCAAGAACTGGTTTTCCCAAATTCACTTAAAGCGCCCAATTATTGTTGAGAAATTTCATGGACACAACGCTATGAAATTTCACTGCATATCTCCAAATTAATGACTAGTGTTGATATTCAATGTATAGTCTTAATCTGATTTCTCTCAAGGCTTCTGTTCCAACACAAGTTACTTAATCTTTCATCAGGTCAACTTGTTTGAATCTGCCTGCGCACATGAGGCAAAGCTCAGAAAAGAGGTTGAGGCTGCAGTGAGAGCTACAATACAGGAGCAACAGATGCTCTTGGAGGAGAAAGAAGAAATTGCTAGTGAACTCGAAAGGACCAAAAGAGCTAGTATCCTTCTAGCCAATTGTGCACATGAAACCAACCGTAGGCGAGATGAAGCTGCAAATGAACTATCATTAATTCAAGCATCCTTCTCAAACCTGCAGCACGAAAAGCAGCAAATCAGGCGACAGAAAATAGAAGCCCTACACTGGCTTGAGCGGTGGAAAAGTTGTGGACATGTTGGAGCAGATCACTGCAATGGGATCATTGGGTTTGCTGAAGAATTTCCAGAGTTGGCAGAATTCTCATTATCAGATCTTCAAAACGCTACATGCAATTTTTCTGAGAGTTTCAAAGCTATGGAGGGTGGATATGGTTCTATATATAAGGGAGAAATGTTGGGTAGAACAGTTGCTATAAGGAAGCTCCATCCACACAACATGCATGGATCAAAACAGTTTCATCAAGAGGTCAGTTTCTGCTTTGAAGTAGTTATCTTAAATTCTTTAGAGCATGAGAGGATCAGTGGAAAAAAACATAATTTAGAGTCTTCTGGATTTTTAATTGATATCACATTTGGTACAACCACAATTCATCTCACACATAATCCTTTAAAGGTAATTTAATTAGGTCCTATGCTAGCTTGTCTTATAAACACTTACGTAGATGCAAGACCAATCCCATGATATATATCCTTGCATAACATTGGATGCTCTTAGTTTTTATAGCTTAAATACCATCTAGCCAGGTGTATGTACAAATAGATTCATTGAGGAAGGTGTGTTTTAGTGAAGCAATATACATAACCATAATTTTTCCTCAAGATCTAGTATACACTTTGTTTGTAGTAACTTTCTGTTGTAAACAATGTTGATAGAACAAAAGTCTTATCCCACAGACGATGTGAGGTTGACTACATGGATTGCACAACGTCGTTGAACTCAGTTAAAAACCAAATTCTTAGAGATAATATTCACCATGAGATCCTTCTTAAAACATTCTCTAATGTCTTTTTTGGTTTCCCTCTCCATCTTTCCACAGGACCAAAACTGTACAATATACTCTCACTATCATTTTGTATATTGTCCTCTTTTATGAGACCACATATCCATCGTAACATTATCGTTTATGATACTCCCACCTTTTTTCTCTTGTTGTCCTTACAAAATCCAATATTCACTACCATTAGCAGGTACTTTGTGATCACAAATAAATAACTCTTGATACCCTTTTTCCTTTTTAAAATTCTGTCAATTGATATACCAAACATGCAGATACAAACTTGTTAGATATTTCGAAGGAGATACAACATCAATGAGACTTGAGTCCAACTCACATAAGAATTCACATCACTCTTAACCCAAAACCTTACATTAGGTTATGCATCATATTTCCTTATATGTTGCTCAACTTTCTCATTCTTACTTAATGTGGGACTTAGTTCATACTTGGATTACCCAATAATCTCCTCCTCAAGAGGATTGACACCACTCTCAACCCAAAACCTTAAGACATTAGGTCATGGGTCATACTTCCTTATATGTTCAACTCTATCATTTTTACTAAATGTGGGACTTAATTCACACTTGGATTACCCAACACACATTAATAAATGGGAACAAGACACTAAGGATCAAGAGTATGTTAGAATCGCGCAGCGGAATGTTCGCGTGGTCGGACAAAAACCAAGAGGGGGGGGGGGTGAATTGGTTTCTTAACAAAAATTAGGTTTTCAAAATTTTTCCCAAATTTTACCAATTAAAAAGCTGTGTAAACGTAAATAAGATAGAGATAGAGTCTTACACAGGAGATTTATACTGGTTCGGATCAAAAGACCCTACGTCCAGTTGTTAATCACTCAAACAGAGGATTAACACTGTCACTATGATCAAAGTTGTTACAAACAGATAACAATTGAAAATACAAAGTAAAGAAAACACCTCTCTTGAAATCCACAAGAGATGAAGAACAGTTTTCCCCAGAGATGGCACAACACACAATCCACTAAGAACTCCACTTAGTGATTCTTATCGCTTCTAGCCCACACCAGTTTCAAAAGCCCCTTTTTCCTCCAACAAACAGTTCTCTGGCACTCACAGCACTTAACTTTTGTTTGAAAAAGGTTGTTCTCATTTTCTGAGTGCCATAGAGAAGCTTAAGTAGAGAAATTAGGGTTTAGGAATTGAGATTTTCGGAACTAGGAGTCTTGGGATTAGGGTTTTCGAAAATAAGGTTGATTTGAAGTTGAAAATCAAAATCTGACTGAAATAATTAATTAAATGAAGTGTTAATCGATTATTACAGAGCCAAAATCAACAGAACCCCAAAACTCACTGTTTTAATCGATTAAAAGTCCTTGTTAATCGATTAACAGGTGTGTTAATCGATTATTATAGTGAACAGATACAGAAAATAGTTTTTCTCACTGTAATAATCGATTATTTGACCATTTAATCGATTAAAGCCGAGGCAAAAAGATAAATTTGAGTTTTTGAAGCTTCTAAAGTGCAGACTATGTACCGGCTATCTTAAACTCTAATATTACAGACTCAAACTAATCAAAACAGAGTTATTACACTATAAAACAAGTCTTCAATTCTCTAAGTTCTTGTGTTCTTGAATCATCATCAAAATCAACAAGCTTCATGTCCATGTAAGTTCAACATCAAGTCCTTGAATGTTCAACAATCTCCCCTTTTTTTATGATGATCAAAATTTTCTTTTAAAGCCTTGTAGTAACCTGTTTTATCTGTAATACTAACAAACACATTAAACATACCAGATAATATTTAAAATCAATCATAGTAGGCTTTAAATATTTCTCTCCCTATTTTGATTATAATAAAAAAGAATTTTTCTATAACAATCATAAGAGTTCCCCCTCAAAATATGCATAACTTGGAGAAAACTCCCCCTCAATCAAAGCAATAAAAAAACACCACATTTTATTTCAGAAATGAAAATATATTACAAATAAAAGGCAAATTTAAAATTCTTCACTATCATCACTATGAAAGTGTGCATCAAATCTATTTTCTAAATGACACACTTTATCATCTACATCAGATATACGGCGAATTATTTCCTCATGTTGTACTCCAGAAAGAGTGAAGAATGTCTGCATCCTCTGATTCATATAAGATAACATGTCTTCCATAGATTGTCGGGTTTCATGATGAGCAGAGGAAGTTCCAACACTTTGGATTTGATCAGAGGGAAACTTAGCAGCAAGAGGTATATCTTCATCAGAATCTTCATTATCGTCACCTTCGTTTGGAACGTCATCCTTGTGAACATAAATATTGTTGACACGCACCATTTGGAGTTGGGTTAATGTGTTGTCCAGCATGCGGTTTAAGTTATTCGTTCGTACTGTTTGTTCACCTTTTATATTTACTCCTTTGTATTCAAGAATGCGAGAGACAAGGAGGGCATATGGAATTTTGAAGGTGGGATGGCGTTTAGCTTTTAACATAGTCATGGTGACAAGAACGCCCCAATCTAAAGGCTCATTATTCATTATGGCATGAATAATACGAAGATCAATTGAAGAACATTGAGCATGATTCGTAGCCCGAGGACATAGGATCCAGACAAGTAAGTGCAAAATCATGCGTTCCTCCTTTTTCAAAGGTCCAGCTAGAAGGAGACACCCAATCTCCATGGAGGGGTTTCGCAGAAAAGAACGGTACGCCATGATCCTGTCAAAATCATCTAACTCACCATACACGTTAATAACATCTTCTCTAATAGGAAAGTGGGCAACGTTTTCCCAAATATCATCATCAAGAATAATTGTAACACCCTTTACTCGAGAGGTAGCAATTTGATATGTAAATTTGAACCTAGAGTAAAATACCATAACTAAGTCAGGATAATACGTACCTTGCATTTGGATGAAAGGGAGAACTCCTTGAATTTCAAGGAGATTAGGAAAGTTGAATCCCCTATTGATGAACTGCTCACCAATAAGGAACTTAGGAGAAATAATATCACGTTCCTTCCACCAGGACAGAAATAACATCAGAGATCCATCCTTCTACAGAATTAGGACGGGGATGAGATGAGGGTGCAGATCTTCTTCTAGTAGGGATTTTTGTACGAGAAGATGAGGTCATTGAAGGATTAGAAGAGTAACAAGAAGATTTAAGAGGACAAGTTAAGTGAGAAGAAGGCAAGATTGATAGAATGAGGCAAGAAAGCTTGATTTCAAGAGATAGAAGTGAGTAGAAGTGAAATGGAGGTCCCTATTTATAGTCAAGCATCTCCAACGGTCATATGAAAGTGAATAAGAGTCAAAAGAGTCGTTTGCAACGGCTAGGAATCCAAACTTGTCAGGTTTAATCGATTAAAACTCAAATTAATCGATTAAACCAGTACCAGACCCATTTAATCGATTAATTTGAGTTGTTAATCGATTAATATTGATTTTAATCGATTAATGGACGAATTAATCGATTAATCCAGAGAGGAATGTCATGTTTTGGGTGTTTTGGGTGTAAATAATCGATTATTCCAAAGAGTTCATCAAATATTTGAGGTTTATGCACATGATAATCTATGAACATCCTACATAATGAATTATAACATTATAACCATCCAAAAACTGTCTAATTAAGCAGAATTTAAGTTATTTTTAATATCCCTAAGTCTCTTCTAAGATCATAGAATCTATCCTTGGGTAGAGGCTTAGTAAAAATGTCTGCTAATTGATGCTTTGTATCAACGTACTCTATTTTACAGTTTCCTTTGCTGATATGATCTCTCAAAAAATGATGTCTAATCTCTATATGCTTAGTCCTAGATTGCATTACTGGATTCTTAGTAAGATTGATTGCACTCGTATTATCACACATCAAAGGTATGTCATTCAGAAATATACTATAATCTTCTAGTTGTTGTTTCATCCACAAAATTTGAGCACAACAATTACCAGTTGTAATATATTCAGCTTCAGTGGTAGATAAAGCAACACATGCCTGTTTCTTAGAATGCCAAGATACTAAGGATGAACCTAACAAATGACATGTCCCACTAGTACTCTTTCTATCAATTTTGCATCCACCATAATCAGCATCAGAATATCCTATTAAACTAGTACAAGCATCAGATGGATACCATAAACCAAAACCAGTAGTTCCTTTTAAATATTTTAAAATATGTTTTACTGCAATTAGGTGAGATTCTTTTGGACAAGCCTGAAATCTAGCACACACACAGACAGAATGCATAATATCAGGTCTACTTGTAGTTAAGTATAACAGTGAACCTATCATACCTCTACACATAGATTGATTAACTTTCAAACCTGATTCATCCTTGTCTAGATAGCATGAAGTTCCCATGGGTGTGTTAGCTTCCTTTGAGGTGTCCATTCCAAACTTTTTAAGTATTTCTTTGCAGTATTTGGTTTGAGAGATGAAAATGCCATCTTTAAGTTGCTTGATTTGAAGTCCAAGGAAGAATGTAA